TAGAAGAAAGGAACCCAGGTTTGGGAGGAAGGTAGGACACTTGTTAAACTGAGGGCATATTCGTTACCAGTCTGTCCTACTGTCTGCTCTGCAGGGCATTGCAAAACCTTTGGGAAATATTGGCATCTATGACCTTCCCCTGAGGTTCAACTAAGAATCCCTGTAAGATGTATGCAAACAGACAAGCTGATTTTGTGATATACTGGGATATGATAATATTTTCATCAAAAAGAAGAAGTCATTGAACACACAGTTATCAGTAACAGTAGTTAGTCTCTCATAGGTTGCCACGATGTGGGAAGATCAACCATTTTCACAAATTAAATAATTCATCCTACTGAAAACCACAGAACCAGGGATGAGAAAACTTCCAGGAACAACCATCTCTCAGAAACCACGAAACAAAAACCACCTTTAATATACAGGTGTAACAGATCTAGGTTTTTGCTTTTACTTTTCATTCTCTTCTCCATACACTTTACTATTGCCCCTAATGAGACCATTGAGAAAACAAATGTTATTGACTCCTGTCTTGTAGTTAAACCTAGATGGCACGATAAAACTTTTCAATTTCTGATACGATACCAATATTGACCTGATACAATACTAGCATGAATCATACATGCTTTTATTGTTCATTTTATGAATGTTAGAAAAGGCTTAATCAAGTGATACTACCTAAACATGGCACATATATAAGATATTAATGTTGAACCCGGACATCCCTAAAAGTAGGCTAAAAATCGGCCTGGGCAATAAAATAATAAACTAAAAAACATAGTCCATAATTATTAACAAAGGGTTATTTTTAGATTGAAAAAAATAAATAAATAAAAAGTTGAATGCACAAAGCCAGTTTTTTTTTACAAATTAACTTATTCTATAAACTCTTCCTTTCCTGCCAGTTGTTGGGTACAGATAGCTTGTTTTATTTGCAGTGCTATCCCATGGTTAGCAAATTTACTGGAGTGCCACTACTGCACCCCACACAGAGGTATAGAAGCCAAATCCCTGACTGAAATGTGGTAGCATGCTACTCAATTTTGTGCCCACGTTTACATCTAAGTGTCCATAAGAATAATTTATTTAAATGCTTTTCTACACATTTTTACCAGGGGTACGAATAGTAATCATGGGTGGGGAAAGATACTTGCTGCACTGAATGGACCAAAAAGGTGTATTGTTTTAATGCTTAAAATATATAACACTGTCCACGGAAAGTTGGATGTATTTTGCGATATATATCCAACAGTTTTTTTTTATTGTGCAAACTTTCAAGTTTAACATTGTAATATATGCATTAAGTGAGTCTGAGATTAGTTGAGTCAATATGTGAATTTTGCTAGCAATCCAAACTTAAGCAAACGCTCTCATAAGTCACACACTGCAAATACGACAGTTGGAGTGGGGATCAGAGCCACTCAGTCAAAATACTGGTATCTACAGTGGTTCATTAAGGTGTGTAAATTCTGTATAACGTGAACTATGTGTCACTTTTCAAACAATTCACAGTATCACAATTTAATGTTTAGTATTTCTATACATTTTTATGGGCCAAATTTTTATGATATTCAAAAATAAAGCTTGACAGTTACAGAAGAAATGTATTTTTCCTAGAAAAGCAAAATAAAAATAAAAAGATGGAGGACAGTATTTAGAAAAAAAAATGATTGCAGGGGGGAGAAAAGCAGTGGAGAAGCGGACATGAAAGGAGTGTAGAGAGGGAATGTGGAAGTGCTGGCGAAGGAAAGGGAGGGAGGTATAATGAAGTCCTTTGGGCCTCTAGTGAAAGAAGCCACAGCATCTGCCAGCCAACAAAGCCCGGCTCTCTACAGATGGTGGCATGCTTGGATATGCTCAGTTCATTTTCACATCATAAAGTAAATGTTCTAAACATTCTTACATGTTTTTTTTTTACTAAAAAATATTTAAAAAGTGACTTTTGCTTCACGCCGAAGATATGATTCAGAGTAGCCTAAGGTACAGTAATAGTGATTCTTTCTTTTCTCTTAATCTGTGACATTATGTAGTGAATAAATGCAGCATAACAATGAATGAGAACGTTGGGGGAAAAAATGCATGACTCAAACACAAGTTTTCCACTTTATGTTCTCTCTTGCTGAGGAATTTACCATGCGGAATGCCGTTTATGCTACTTTACATGGTAAATGGCCTGTACTTATATAGCACTTTTCAAGTCAGGGGTCTTGACCAAAGCGCTGTACACTTATATATCTAATTATATCTAAGATATCCATGTATCTGATAAGTTACTTAATGAAACAACTGTCTGTATTTGCAGGTTGTTTTTTTTGGCAACTCAGTTCTACTTTCTTCATTCTGTTTCTAGTCCACTGCCACTCTTGTTATGTTGATTTGTGCCCTGACCACAATCAGAATAGCTAACGTGGATTGCTATCAAACAGTGGATATAATTAATCTGGCTCTTGTTATCGGACAGGCACCTCTTCTTCATTCTCTTTTCAGGACTGATTCATCCAGAATATTTCAATCTATGAGTGAAGAATAAACTACGATGTCATGATGGTAAAAAGATAGTTACGACCTTTTTATCTTGTCATTTAAGAGCAGATAATAATGACTTTGGTCATAATGCTTTAGCTAAGCTGACAAGTCAGTAAGTACCTTTTGATCGTGCCAAAATACCTACTGCTGACAATATTCTCCGGATAAAAAAGAAATAAACTTCTTGTTCCTGACTGAAACCTGGTACTGCAGCATCCAAATGATGGCTGTCCTACTTGTTATATCTAATAGAGTTGCTTTTTTTTTACTAGACACAGACGGATACATTAGCTGGCTAGTAATTTCGGCCCATATTAGCATTTTTATTAGCATCAAGTGCATTAATTAGCTGATTAACTCTGTCCATTCAGAAGGCATGCCTTGATCATATAAGGAACATTGCTACTGCTTCCATTTGTGATCCACTCTTAATATTTGTTTCATTTGTTAATGATTTTTTTTTATTGTCTTGTGTAACATGTGCTACAAATGTGTAATTCTACCATAGAAATGGAGAAAGAGAAGCAATTAGCCTCAAGGATGAGTCCAAAAATAGGTAGCATATATCAGGGATTGGTAAGAGTTATATGAAAATAATCAGTAATTGCCCATTGAAAACCCTTTAATTTCAAATTGTCAACTAATGAATTAATCATTAAATGCAGTATACAGATTTTAACAAATGCTGTTAACTGAAAGAGCGACCCACTCAGAGCATTAATATGACCAAACTATATAAAATATATAAACATCTTGCATTTAGGATTAAAAAAAAACTTTTTTGTTAATGAATAATCTCAGAACGCCTTTAGTGGCATATCTTCACCTGGTTTAAATTCTTTATAAAATATGATTTAAGGAGCTTTTTATTTTTTTTTAATTTCTTAATAGAAATTATAATCAACAAATTAATGGATGAACAAAATAATAATTAGCTGCGCAAAGGGGAGGCAGCAGTAAAGTGTGCTTGTTTAAAATTTTAGGCCTGGTCCACATGAAGATTAACAAAGCAGATTTTCATATATGGCTCAGAAAAAATGTGCATCCACACACGTGTATGTATCACCAGTGAAGAAGCTGTATATACGCCAGGCCCTTTGGTGCCGCTGTGAGACTGCCACAGAATCACATTCAAATCACTTATAAATAAAAATAGCCTTGCAAAGACATCTTATGCAAAGTAAACACAGGACCATGATGGTAAAGAGTCACATGGGAGCTATGGAGTTAGTTTGAGATACAAAATCAACCTTTACAAAAGATGTGTCTCCTCCATACGCATTGAACCTCGAACCCGACTGGCGTAACCTGTTTTTCCAGTCTGGGACCTGGTTTAAAAACTGTTATTATACATTTTCCCAAAACGGCTTTCATCTATTTGGATGCATAGCTTAAATGACAAATGGTTACACCTAATCTCGTCCTTGTGTGGATGGGGCCGCAGGCATCTGTTTTCTCATAAATCCCGAATGAAGCTTTAATCTTGCTTTTCTTATTTCACTTTAACTATTGATATTTTCTTCATTTTAATCAAACTCAAAAAACTTTCTTCTGGTTTATTAAAATATTTTGTGAGACGACTGTAAAAGGCTACTGTTGGGGCTACCCAGCTGGTTATCTTAGCAAGATTTCATTTTAGTGTTTTTACAAGGTTATCAGTTGGGACTAATCATGCTTATATTTGACCGACACTTCCCATGAGCCAAGTTCTTGGTATATCTGTAGATTTTATGTTAAATGCAAAAACATTTTAGTTCCTCACATTTCCAGCCAAAAAAAAAATAAACAACATAAATATGACAAAAAAATGTCCGCCAATGTTTAGAAGTCTTATAAAACAATTCCAGACAAGAACAAGCTCAAACAATAGGCCATCCTGTTCTTATACGGTAATTAGTCCTGAGGATATTTTTTTAGTTTTGTTTTTCCACTGCTGTCCTGTTGGATAACCACAAAAAAAAAACTGATATGGGGGGCAGTAATTAGAGAGCGGGTAAGAATGGGAAATAGCCATTTCCCTTACCTTCTGGTTGCATGGTGCTTAAGCCCTCATAATGCTGACATCAGCACTCAGCTCTGACAGCAACTAACACACACACACACACACCTCACTAACTGGGTAAATGCTTCACAACAGATGAATCAGAATAAAGAGGACCGCCAACATGACTGCAATAATCTTCAACATTATGTTTCATTTAAAAGAAACTCAGGAGATAGTGACAGGATGTATGATACACACAAATAAACACATGCTTTACATTAAACCTAGTTTGAGCTTTCACTCAAGTGCAATATATATATATATATATATATATATATATATATATATATATATATATATATATATATATATATATATATATATATATACTTTCACCCTCTACATGAAGGCCACACCTTAGCCAAGCAGCATGCCACACCACATCACCAGTACCTTGGTATGCTGTCAGATCAGAGCATTGAAAGGATATGGCCATTCGGTGATCTTTTTGGCGTACTTCCTCACCACGTTGTCTTCACTGAAGAGGAAGAGGGAGCGGTTGACCGTTAGGCAGCTCTGCCGGACGGGTATGGGGTTGTACAGGGCCATGGTCCGGGCTCTCTGGGCCATCGACTGCTTGTACATCCGCTGCGCTCCGGGGGGCCCACCTTGCCTGCTGCCGCCGCGGCCGGGCCCCCCTTGTCCGCCGGCACCCCCGCCACCACCGCCACCACCACCTCCTCCTCCTCCGTACCTGTTGGGTAGCTCGTCTCCAAAGCGCGCCATTCTGCAGACACCAAACGCCAGAGGTTAGGAAGGAGCCAGGGGGAAACCTCAGAGTGACACCTCCACATGCCACCACCCCATCAGCCTCGGTTCCGAAGACACATGCAGAATAGAGTTTGGGTTTGGATCTGTCTCTACTTCTCTGTCTCTCTCTCTGAGCGTGTCCTTCCACCTCTATCTAGATCCTTTTTTTTCCTTCCCAAGTCTTCAGCACCAAGAAGATACCTCCATTTGTGAGGTGGGAGGGGGGATGTCAGAGGGGAGGGATGGGAGAAAAGAAGATAAGATAATCGAGAATCTTGTATTTAAGGATTAAGAAGTCAAATCGCAACAATGTGTTTATATTATTTGTGAACAGACAGTTTTCTGTTGGAAAATTGAGAAAAATCGAATATTTAGTGAAGGCATCACACAGGCTTCACTCTCTTGTGCTGTTCTTATTTAACCATTATGATAAAAAAAAAAGACAGCTAAAAGACAGTCAGCTGCTTCTATTAAAACTGGCAAATCAATCGATCAGCTCAAATGCGATCGGAATGCATAGCTGTGCATTGAGATAAATATTGCATCCATCTCCACAGAGCAGGCCAGCTGGAGACTGCGTCTTTTTCCTGCATCTTGTCAGGATCTGCAGTTGTCTTCCCCCACCACCACCTCCTCTCCTCTTTTCTTTTTTTTCTCCAAAGCCGGATAAAAATAGAAATAGATAAGAGTAAAATCTTTAATAATTAATTTCTTCTTGTTCTATATATCCGCAGGGTTTGATGCGCTCGCCGCTGCTTCCTTTAACTGTCGCTTCAGCTTTCTGTTTACACGCAAAACGTCAACCGAGGGGGGCTTCCCCAAAATCCGTGCCTGGTGACATTTGTTGATATTTGGTAATGGACGGTGCGGCATCCCCCCCCCTCCTCTCCTCTCCTCCTCTTTTAACCCCACTCCTCTTCTACAAGGCGTCGGTCGCTGGTTTTTGGGCGTGATTGCGCGTACTTGGAGGTGAATACGCCCGCTTTCCCAGTGTACCAGTTTATGTCTTCCTCGCTCTCGTGCGTAAAAGAAAAAATAATGATAAAAAAAGGAGTGGATGAGATCAAAGAAAAAAAATTAAAAGAAAATGTCCACAATAATCATCTATAATCCAGTGTTGGGGGAACAAGAATCCCAGATAAACAGGATCCGGATGATGGAGGCAGCAGCTTCAGCACCATCATCAATTTTTGGTCGAAAAACAGGACGGTTGCGGTGCGGTTTTGCTGGAACAGCAGCTCTCATCTTCTCCTCCACCAACGGGCAGAAAACGTGCACCATCTCCACCCAGCAGCATCACCCCCCCACACCCTCCTCGATGATCCTGAAACCTGAAAGAGGCGACCAGCCAGGTCCGACGTCTCTTTAGCGTTCTCCTTTTGCGCGCTCTCCCTATCTTCTATCTCTTTAGGATCCCCCCCGCCCTCCTTTAACCCCTCAAGGGGAAGGTAGAACAACGCTGTCGATCCAGGGGGGTTGTTAGTAAAGGGACCCGAAAAAGTGGAGTTGCTCCTGCGTTTTTATTAACGCGTTCAACAGGGGTTGAGCCGTGCTCTGAGCATCTGATCAGTCTGAAGGGAACCGAGCGCCACGCGAATATCCGTGGCTAAGCCATGCAGCGCACGACGCACGGCACCTCCCCAACCCAAACACATTATTACGCTGGCTACACCTGTGTGGAAAGGTATGTTATCTGTCCCTTTAACAACAACAAAAAAAAAGAATAAATACATAAATCATATAAACAACACAAAAATAAGTGTTTGGAATGCCAAAAGTTACATAAAATGTGATAAATATCTGGTTTTGATTAATTCCTAGCAGGTTGGTTTCTTTAGTTTCCTCTCTCTTGGTCATAGCAGACCAACGATAATATTTATTTCTATTTTTGCAGATTTTTTTTTAAGTAGGTACCCTAAGTGTAGTGGATGTAGGGTGCAAAAACCAACAATAACAATTGATATTCATCTCAACTTGATTTCTTGTGTAAAGGCCTAAAGTCCACAGTCGTTAGGCATGATCCTCTCATAAGAGCTGAGCTGATTGTAGCTGGTCAATCGTGTGCATTTCTACAACTAGTTTAGGGTCATATCTCACCCAGCTTTGTACATCTAGAGACTAACATTTTTGCCTGTTCTTATTTGCAAACTAGCATAAGATCGGTCAAGTTTGATGATGAGCTTCTGTGAACATAAACGTTTATGTCTTGCCCCAACTTTTTAATTAGATTTAAGACTTCTATTGGAAGTTGAACCTCCCCTAAAAGATAACACATCAGCTGGACTGTCAAAAGAGCTATGGATCTATGCAGCTCCAGAGTTTCTTGGTCCTCTCTGCTGATCTTCTGATTGATGCTCACCTTGCTTTGCTTCAAATTAATCATAGGGTCTTTGTAGGTTTGTAGTTGTTCCACACTCTTTCTAACTTGGGATACTGGATTGAAGCTCTATGAGATGCTCTTTGGAAAATTGTTTTATTCCCCAAGCCTTCTTCAAAATTTCACCACACATTTCTTTCATTAATGATTTTCAACAAACCTCTGATGCTTTCAGTGGCTTTTGTGACGAACAGACGCTCTATTCTTTAAAAAAAAAATCATGGATAGCAGTCCTTCATCCCATCTGCTTAATTTACAGCTACGCTTTAATGTAATCCAATTTCCATTGCCAAATCTAACAAATGTATATTCAAATGCTGTCTCTTAAAAATGTCTCAGTGTTAAAGATGGATTAAGGATTGTTTTTAGCCAACTTGATTTTTATTTTTTTTCACAGTTAAGTACATACAGGAAAAATCCTGCCAGCTAAGTTAGTAAAGCTAACTTTTTAATGCACATTGCCAAGAGGAAAGAAGACAGAGTTTGGAGTGTTGTCCTGTTTTTTGGGCTTTTTTTTGTTTTTTGTTTTTGCTTTTTTTAGGAAAGTTCAAAAGAAAAGTATTATTTCTCCTTCCTCCAAGCTATTTTTGAAGGTTTGGCTCAAATTTAAAGCTGCTTTGAAGCGATCCCACAAGCTGTTAGACTAGGCTAAATAAGAATAAACAGTGATGAACAGGCACAAGAAGCTTCTCCCTGTCATCGTTTATTAGGAAGCCTGTTAAATTTGTATGACATCCGTAAAGTAAAAATGCAGATCACTAAAGGCTTGTAAAACTACCCAACCTGGTTGGAACTGCCCTTGGTGCTGAAATACTTTCTAAAAGGGTTTCCTTTTTTTTTGGTGATGTCCAAAGTGCTGAACAAATAAAATGAGCATAAAGCACCGTATGTCACCTGCTTTTCTTTTGGAAACAGTTACCTGTATTGTGCCCAGGTGGGTTAGAACTGTACCTCCCACCATCTGTTACTTTTCAGAGCACTGCGTTCAAGCTGTACTAGCCATGTGTCTCCTGTCCCAGCAACTTTTGGCTGTTTCTTACCCAGAGTTTGAAGCTCTGTTTGTATTCCAAAGGGTGGTGGATGGATTATGAAAGTGGTACATATGGTGGATATCTAGAAACCAACATCCGAACCAGTTTGACAAAACTCTGCTAAAGAGGAATACCCAATTTATGACAGGGCAGGTTATCTTTTTGAATAAATCTCAATGTTTTCTCTCAATCATTTTCTACAACAAAAACAAAAAGCACACTAACTAAAGTGGTAGTGTAATTTAGTTAGTTTGTCTATTATGGTAAATCGAATTTCATATAACACATGAGAGGAAAATCAGTTGCTTTTGCTGTATGTGACATTTATATTCTAAGTACAGTATATATTATAACTACAGCAGGCAATTAAAAGGACCAAAATAAAAATGCTAAGCTATTGTGCTGCTGTTAAATCTAAACACATGAAGTAAACTGATGATAAAATTAGGTAAAGAATAAAAAGATTATTCATTATCCACCAATAAGCATACAAACGACAGTTGTAAAAAGTTGTGGATTAAAAATCATGCATTAATCTTGATCACCTCCACAGGCTGTAGCCTTTTAAAAATCTCAGAACTTGAAGTTAAACAGAATATACAATTTATCACTCAGTTTTACACATCACCTTATTCACAGACTCATAGCTACTACCAGGCTATGATGAAATCTAGATCCTGCTTTCAGCAGTGAAAGTGAATGATAGTGGTGGGGAAATGGTAAGATGGGGATGTTGCCGGAGAACAAGATTTGTATGATCATTGAAAACACGACACAGCTGGATGACAAATGACAAGCTTATTGATGACAAGGGATAGACAGAGCGAGAGGTGGTGTCTGTCAGCAGTTTCCTTCCTTTTCTACTCGTTATCCTACACTCTAGGGTGCCCCTGCTACTGTTACTGCTGTTGCATTGCCACGCAGCTTTCCCAGCCTCTCTCAATGGGAGTGTGTGGGTGGGTGTGCATGCGCTGCTGAGGGAGTCTTGCTGAGGCCCTGATGTGCGGCATTGTCATTCAGGGAGCGTTCACACAGGCAACCCCATAGGAAGCCCTGGCACCTCCCCCTTGAAATAATGCCCCTTTCCTCCACCTCCTCCTCTTGTCATCCCCCCGCACCCTGTCTGTTCTCTGATCTCACTCAGCAGGCAAAAGCTACAGAGCTGAGGGAGACGTTAAAATGAGAGGGGACAAGAAGAACTAAAGATATGCAGCAAGATTATGGGTTAATAATCTTCTACTAGCTAGTTAGACTTCACTAGGAAATAATTAAAATCTAATTTTGTTGGATTTCTGTCAGATATCAAGTGGTTAAACTCAGTTCATTTAAATATTAGTGTCTTGGCATTTTCTCTTTATAAGCCATGATACTCACTAAATAGTATTAAAATTTAAGAATGATTATAGTTTCTTCTTAAAGGCTCAGTCTTTGTTGCACTGGAAATAAGTGATACGAGAGCAGGGATATGAATTTGTTAAATGTCTAAAACACATTCAACACATATCTGCAATTTCAGTTTCCCTCTGCATCTGTTCAACCTCTAACTGTAATTGAGAAAACAGCAATCTG